ACGTTAGCACCCGCTGCCCAGGGAGGTGGTGGCTTGCGAGGGGCTTTTTGGAGGTGGCTGGAAACGGGGGAGTTTGAGGAAAACACCATCCGCGCCCCCCCGGCGATATCCGCCCTGCGTCGGGGGGAAAAGTCCCCGTCCCACCTGGCAGCGTCCTTTGATCGTGGGCCACCGCTCGCACGTCCACATCTGAGCCTCCCACACTCTGCAAGAGAGACGCAGAGAAGTGAACGGGACAAAATCCCCAAATCTGCCCCAATTTTCTGCTCCAAGAGGAGGCCAGGACGTCAGACCCCAATACCCACCCTTTATTTCCCCCCCACATCACGCACAGTAGGAGTGGGAGCAGTGAGGACGCAAAGAATCCAGATCCGCTCGGTTTTGGAGCAAATAAAAATAATACCAAGGGGCAAAATCAAATATTTCGCAGGGAGGGAGCTCACCTGAACACCGCGGAGGGAGTGGCCGCCAGGACCTTGCTGCCGTCCGGTGACCAAGCCAAGTAGGTGACGCCGCCGCCCCCAAACCACTGCAGCTGGACGCAGTTCTCGGTGGACACGTCCCACACCTGGAGGATATCGACACCGGGGTCGTTAGTGCAGCTTCAGGGGAATTTTTGGTGTGGATTAGGGAGCACAGAGCGGTGCTTTCAGATCTGGTTCAAATTCAGGAGCTGCCTGATCCATCCTCCGAGGAAATGAGGAATTTCCTGCGGTGCCACAGCCCAACAATCCCATGGGGACCCTTCGGTGGCTTCACGGCTCCGGTATCAGCCCGGGAGCCGCAGGCTGGCCCTCACCAGCATGGCCGTGTCGACCGGTGACGCCGAGAGCAGCAGCTCCCCGCTGGGAGCCCACGCCAGGCTGGTGACAGGGCTGTGACCCGGGTAGGACAGCACCTGGGCGCAGCCGGACGACGGTCTGGAGGAAAAAAAGAGAAAGAAACGGCCGTGGTTGATGGCAGGAAGGGCTGGCCTGCGCTGCGGCTGCTGGTGGGATAAAGGAATGAACCCCAACGGGCTCGTGACAGCCCGCGGCCGGGCAGGGGGACGCGTGTCACCTGGTGGAGAGGGAGGTGGGATCCAGGTGCCACACCAGGACGCAGCTCTGGCAGGCGACGGCAAGGATGGAGGCGCAGAGCGGCTTCCAGGCCACGGCGGCCACGTTCCTCTGCAGGCGATGCTTCAGCGAGGGGATGGTGGCGCTGCCGGAGAGGAGGGGAGCGTGAAAAGAGGGAAAACGGGGGATGGAGAGTCCTCGCGCAGCCTGAGGCGGGCTAGGGGCCATCTCCCAGTGTCCTCTCTCCGGTTCTGACTGCGGTGGGGGCCCAAAAGCAGAGTGCGAATCGA